TGCAAGTATTAAGTAGTAGAAGTCCGTTGGAACTCTCTCAACCCCTCGGCAATTTTCTTCTTTCTTTCTGCTTTTTTTTTTTGGTATTCTTCCTCCTTTTTCGAAATATCTCTCCACAGCTTGTTGCGGTCACTGGGGTATTTGTTGGGAAAGTGACCATTGCAATAAACAAGAACAGCGTCGAGAATAAGGGGTATATAAGGGTATTCAAAAACAGTATTAAGAATGCACCAGACAATGAAAAAGGAAGAAGGAAATAAAAGGGAAAAAGGAAAGCAATAGATCCCACACTTACTCACACAGGGTTTAATGCAAAAGAGTCAAAGAAAGAAGATGACGGAAGTGAAAAAAAAAGAGAAAGTAGCCGAACCAGATGATCTGTGCTGAGAAAGGATGGAAATAAGAGTTGTTTGTCTGGCAGCTGCAAAGAGAGACAGAAGCTGACAAGACGGAGATGCGGAACGCTTCAGACAAATATCGGCAAACTTGCAAAGCAGGGGAAAAAAAAGGAGGTTAGCTTGCAAGAGAGAGTAGTTGACATGGTACAAGGGCTGGAAACAGCTGATTTCGAAATGGAGCATTCAGATGAATCACGCTTGCAATGCAGAATAGAACAAAAAACAAGGCAATAAAAAGGTACTAATGATAAAAACGACTTATGAGATGCAAAACATAGGAAATATTGGGAAAAAAAAAAAAAAAAAAAAAAAAAACTGATTCGGAACCTTACTTGGAAACCGTTTTTAGATTTGGGAATAAAAGCTAGAATAAACAGGAGATATCTGGTATGGAGGGGGAAGAGGGTGATGTTTACTTGTTCGTGGGTGGTAGTTTGAACAAGCCCCCGATTTTCGACCATAGTTTGTAGCAAGTGGGTGAAAAAGATGAAAGCATAGGCAAGGGCGTAGAGCCTGCATCTTTAAATTCACCGTCGACGCCGAGTAGATAAAAAGGGGTGAATTTCCAACCAGCCGGCAGAATAAGGGGTATCAACTATCACTTCTCCTTGGCTCAGTGTAATTATGTAAGCCTATAAGGAAGAAGTAATAAATCCGGTCCGATGTAGCAGGGCCGGGAGCCCAGTCGGACCGGGCCGAGCAGGTATCCTCTTTGAGTTACCATGGGGACATTTGTTGTGTTCGTAGACCTAGA